TTGTTAACGTAAATATTTAAATAATACACTATTAAAATCGCTAAATATACACTAATAAAATTTTTTTTTATTACATAAATGAATACGCACACTTATAATGCTATAATATCATATATATTGTAGCAAAATTAATTTTTTTCTCGACAGTTCTCATGTTTATATTGATAATTAAACTCGGACGATAACATAAAAATCGTAGTGTTTTAAATAAAAATATAATATTATTAAGTTTTAAATATATATACATGTCTATGAAACATTGGAATACATAAATCATAAAATTAATACTACATATCAGTTTCTTATTCTTAATAACTTACATTTTTCATAATGATGCGAATTTTTATAAGATTAGCGGATCTTTAATAGTATCTTGTCGGTGACATTACGCGCGGCAACCGTTTATTCGTTAATAGCCAGGATTTGCATTAATTACCGTAAAGGACTTACATTAATTACACGGATTGTGTCACCGTTTCTCCGGATATAATTTCTTACATTTTCGAGGGATGCTGCGAATATTTCAGAGGCAAATTTTCCGAAATGTACGAGGTGATAGGAGATTGAATACATGGTCATCCCTCGCCACGACGTTTAATTCCACTGATGAGAATCGTTCGATAAATTTATTAAAGAAAGAAACAGTAAGATCTCAAGAAGTTTATCTAATCGTTTAATTATTAAAATGAGAGACTTTAAGTATCAAAATAAGTATCAAATTAATGTGACTTTAATTGACAATTGATATTTAAATTGAAATAATGTCAATCCATATAAGCACAATAGAGATAAATGCACCTAATTTTATATTGTTTACTAAATTATATTTATCATTTAAAAATATCCCCAAGGGATTGTTTGGTATTCCGGAGCTAAAAACTGAGGATGGCTTCGATACATTGAAAAATCATGCACTGGCAGAAGTCAATGTTCTCATTGAGGAAGCAACGAGTAAGAACAGAAAGAGAAAAATGGTAGAAATATTTGATGAATTATCCAATACACTATGCAAAGTGGCAGATATGGCAGAATTTATTAGAGTCGCACATCCTGATCAACAATATGTTCGAGCTGCTGAAGATGCTTGTATAACTATTAGTGGCGTTGTTGAAAAGTAAGTTCACCTTTGAATTATGTACTTAATTGCTTTATGGAAGTTCATTTATATATTTATTATTGTATTTTTTATTATACAATTATATTATGATTTAAGAATATTTTCTTCAAAATCTATATTATAATTTTATTTTATAAATATATATTTATTTAAGCTTTTTTAAAAAATATTCAAGATATGTAAAAGCTATTAAAGATAATAATAAACTATTTTAATAGATGTTATTGATAATGGGATTAGTAGAGCAACAATTATATTTATAAATTGATATTAATTGGTATTTTTGCAGATTAAATACACATCGTGAGTTATACGATTCACTAAAGCAAGTAACAAGTAATGGTGATACTCAAATGACATCAGATATAGATGATCATGTAGCTAAATTATTCCTATTTGATTTTGAGCAATGTGGTATACACTTGCCTGAAAAACAAAGAAGAAGAGTAGTAAAACTAAATGATTATATTCTGCAAGTAAATATTATTTAATAATATCTCTAATCGTCAAATCCATAAATATGCTTTTTCTTTTGATTTTTTTAGGTAGGACAAAAGTTCATGGCTGGCGCCGTTACTCCGAAGACAGTTAACGCCGACGTAATACCTGATGTTATCAGGCAGTAGTAGGTGTAGTAATTTAATCGATTATTTCGTCATTCGACTAAATTCTATCGTTTTGTTTAAAACTTTTCAAAGGTATAAACTTTAGAATGGTATCTCGTTGATACGTTTCACAGTTTTGTTACGGAGAATGGTCAGATATTAGTGCAAGGATTTTACACAGATTCTTCTAATACTGCTGTTCGCGAAGCGGCATACAAATTATTTTTATTCCCGGATAAGGAACAAGAACATTTGTTACACGAACTCTTGCACTCCAGGCATCTGCTGGCGGAATCTTGCGGATTTACGTCATACGCACAAAGGTTTGAAGGTACAGTTTTTTAAGCGAAAACGAATGAGTAATTAAAAAATTTCTTATTATAGAGCTGTAAAAGGGAGTACGGTTAAATCTCCAGTTGTAGTGAAGGAATTTCTTAATATATTAAGCGATAATTTGCAACCTAAAGCGATGCAAGATTTTCAAGAGATGCAGAAAATGAAAAATGCTGAGTCGCGAATAAAACAAGTTTGTTTCCATCTGTAGTCTTACTGTATTTATAATGCTATTTATGATTACGTTATTCATGTAATTATATCAAATGGCATTTACGATATTCCTATTTTCTATTTTACAAAATTGTAAAATTTTTTTTCTTTAAAATTATTTTAAACAGGAATTGATGCCATGGGATACACCCTATTTTATGGCAAAGGCAAAAAAAGCTTGGTTAAATACTTCTACTACCGAGTTTACTCCATATTTTTCTCTTGGTGCCTGTATGGAGGGTTTAAATTTCCTCACACAGTCTTTGTACAGAGTTAAGCTTGAATCCGTTCCAGTGTTATCCGGAGAAGTATGGGCGAATAATGTTCACAAATTAGCTGTAATAGATGAAGAGGAAGGAATTTTGGGTTATATCTATTGCGATTTCTATGAAAGAGCAGGGAAACCTAATCAAGACTGTCACTTTACGATCCAAGGTGGAAAACAACTTTCCGATGGCTCTTATCAGGTATAAATTATTATTTTATATATATAACATATATATATATATATATATATATGGAATTGTTATGTATTACAGCGAAATATTATTTTTTGTCATCAATGTTGTCAAGTTTTCTTTTTATTTCTTTTCTATTCATACATTTATATTTGTACATTTACATATAATTACAGAAGTGATAACAATCTTATATCGTCAATTTCAGACTCCCATCGTTGTGCTCATGCTATCACTGTCGCATCCACGTTGGTCAAATCCATGTTTATTGAGTCCGTCATCTGTGGACAATTTGTTTCATGAAATGGGACACGCATTACACTCTATGCTTGGTCGAACGAAATATCAGCATGTTACTGGTACTAGATGCAGCACAGATTTCGCGGAAGTACCTAGTGTATTAATGGAATATTTTGCGAGTGATCCTAGGGTAAATATTCAATAATATAGTATAGTATGAATTATAATTACTGAAATTATTTATATACAAATGTGTGTTAGTACTTGATGCGGTATGTACAATGAACGTATAATTCACGAATGTTTAATTCACTTATGCAATTACAGGTTGTATCAAAGTTCGCAAAACATTTTCAAACTCAAGAACCAATGCCAGAAAATTTATTACACAAATTATGCGCTTCAAAGAATATCTTTTATGCCTCTGAATTGCAAAATCAAGTGTTCTATAGTATGTTGGATCAAGTATATCATAGTGGTAAACTAACGAAATCCACAACCGAGATTTTAGAAGATGTACAGAAGGAATATTATGGTCTTCCGTATGTGAAAAATACAGTATGTATTTTTATTAATTTTTGGCATTGATTCTAAAACACAGATGTTAAGTATTTACAAAAAAATAGATAATTAAAGCCTAGTTCCATTAATAAAAGATTAATTTTAATCTCAGTTCAATTTACTGTATCTTTTTCTAATTTTTACAATTAAAAAAAGATAGAGTAAATTGAACTGAGATTAAGTTAATTTTATAACACATTAATTATGAAATCTTATCAAAATCATCATATCATTGTTACACTTTTTTAATTTTCAATAACTAGATTCTCCCCTTTTAGAAATTAAAATTTAATGTCAATATAAAATCTTAAATGTAATTAAAGGATGTTTCATTTATATTTTAATTTTTGAAAATTAAGATAGAATCTTTTTTATTAGAAAAAAATGAAGAATCGAAAATGAGATTACCGATTATTAAATAAACTTATAAAATCAAATGAAAAATTATACAGCTTAACAATAATTTTAAATTCAAAGAAGAATACCGAAAGATTTATTTTGATTCTTTTTTATTAAATATGTAAATAAATTTAAAAAATATGTGTTAAAAGTTAGAGCAAATAATTAAACAATTAATGAATTTTGCAATAAATTGAATAATGAATTAAGTTTCAATTTTTAAGTAAAGTATATTAACTTTTAATACTACAATTTATTTCTTATCATAGGCATGGCAATTGAGATTTTCTCATTTGGTTGGATATGGTGCAAAATATTATTCTTATTTAATATCTCGTGCAATTGCCGCATGGATTTGGCAAACCTACTTTCACAACGATCCTTTCAGTCGATCAGCTGGCAATCGTTACAGAAGAGAATGCTTGGTACACGGAGGCGGTAAACCGGCGTCGTTGTTAGTGTCGGATTTCTTAAATAAAGAAGCTAATGCCGATACATTTGCAAAATCGTTAATAAACGAAGTCGATATGAAAAATCTACATGTGCAAACAATAAAATAATTTAACGATGTAAATTTTTCTTGTACAGATATGTGTAACACTGATGTTTCAATAACCTTGTAACAAATTTTTTGTAGTAAAATATAAATACATTTTTATAAGAACAAAAAGTAATCATTGAAATGTATATTTTATTTCTGAAAAGAGAGTAACATATTTTACTTTTATTTTTAATAGATTCATACACTAATATAAAATTATTTTTTTCTTATCAAATCATTGTTATGGCTTTTTAATTTTCATTTTTTCTTTATTTATATATTTTAATTTTTGAAAATTAAGATAGAATTTTTTTTATTAGGAAAAAATGGAGAAATCATCAGATTATCGATTATTAAATAAATTTATGAAATTAAATGAAAAATTAATATAGTAAACATAAGTTTATATAGTAACATATTCTGTATAAATCCTTTTACATTTCATTCTACAAATAAAAATTGCATGTTGCAAAAATGATAAGTATGACAACATTAATTATAAGTCAATTAATTTCATTAATTAATTTCTTCTTGATTGTATTTTTTATTATAAGTACAGAACCCCTTACTCTCTATGTACAGTTTCGGTAAATCTATGAATTATTACAAAAAAATAAGTTTTTTAATGTTGTACATATAATTGAAACGCAGTATAAAATAATTTATGTGAGAAGATATTAAGTTTATATACTCTACCTTCACTTCCTGAGGTTATTCCTAAATCTGTACATGGCAACGTGAAGCTATAATCTTCTCTCGTTAGAAGGAGTGCTACTGACGTACCAAAACGCTGATTTGCTGGCAGTACTATCTTCTCGCAATTAAAAAAATTACTAATAGTCTTTCGGTATGCATTTACATTGCCTAACTGCATTTATGTTGACGTTTCACAGATTTATGTAAAAACTCTCAGTGAGTATTCTCATCAAAATAAGTTGAACATTCCCTATCAGTATGTAAACGTCTTGATAAAAGTATATTATTTACTAATCTAGTTTATAGATACATGGACACGAAATGATTTAACAAGCCATGATCATGAATGATCATTTACTCTCATGTAATTTCTAACATTTTTTTCAGCAATATGATGATATATATATATATCGGTTTTTAATAACAATCACGATTCATATATTTATCATATAGTTTTCATGCTTATTGACATCTTATATATATTAATCTGTCGTCTCGCCGTTATATAATTAGAAATTTGATTCAAGGTAAACTGGACACTTGTTTTGCATATTTTGTCTAACATAGAGATGCAGCATATTTTAATTTCTATTATTTTTATCTATTATATATAGTTCTCCAAAGAATAAATGAAATGTTAAAAATGTTTTTAGAAACATGAAGACAAATGTGAAGAGGTACAAATAACTTGTAGATTTCAAAGATAAGTACCACGATAGTATATATGTATACATACATACATACATACATATATATATATATATATATATATATATAGACATAGTACGCTCTTTTATTTTTGTTATAAATACTGCACTATGTATTGTTCAATTTTCGAATTAACTAATTATATTGCGATTGCATTCTTACTTTCTATTTTCATGATAGTGTCACAGTATGTATACATTTTCCATTCTTTATTACATTCTCTTAATCGTAATTATGCTGTGAAAAATTGTGTTGCATAAAAAATTGTTATATTCTAGGACATTACATCAAGCTTTTTTTGCCTATTATTATGTCCTTTTATCTTATTTCGAAAAATTCGGAACACTGGTTAAAAAAGGATTGTAATCATTTAATGTCTCTTGCACACTAAAAACCAAAACGGGGAAATTCACTGAACCAAGTCTTTTTCTTTCGATCACACACTTATAACTTTATCTGAACAGTCGGATTGGTTATATAATCTCTCGTTTGAACTTGTTCACATTCACGATGGACAGACACCAATTGTGATTGATAGATTGAATTTGCTAGAAAAATCAGCATCAATTTTACAAGACAATATATCTTTGGCATTTGCTTTAGGTTACGCAACGTAATTGTATTGATTTGCGTTGTCCTTGTCTCGTTCCATGTAGTCTCTATCTATAAGAGACTCGATTCGCTTTTTCAAATCCGCAGGCTGAAAAAGAATACATATTTTATAAATTAAATAAAAAAACAAATACATTACACTCAATACAGTATCTTTACAAATTAGAATTCTATACATTATTTGGATTGCACATTTAAGCATGTGTGGTTATATATATGAATATTATTTTTCTAATAATAGCATGCATAATATTTTAGATCGAGAACAAAATGATGGTATTTTATCTTATTTTCTTACAAAAAATAATATATATACCTTTACAGGAAACTTCAATTGATTATACAGTTCACTGATGAGAAGATTATGGGTCAGAGTTTTTCTCATTTTCATAATTCTAACGATAGCAGCGTCTATCTGATATTGTCTATCTTGATATACTCTTTCTTCTGTCGCTTTCTGTTCTTCATTCTGAAAAAAAATTCATACATCTATAAGAATAAAAAAAACTTATCAAATTTTATATTAAATAACGTAAATTTTTTGTACAAACACATGTATAAAATAAAAAGATATAAAATATATTGCATTATTAAATATCAAGTACCGTTTCTTTCATTTGAATTTGATTGATCTTAATCCTGAACAGTTTGTTTGTGAATTCTGCATTAAATACGAATCTATCGTTATCGGCGACATCCCGACCACGCGGGTTCTTTTGAAGAACACGAGCCTTCCCGCATGCCAAGGACTGCAGTGTTCTTCTCAGTTCACCGTCCTCGATATTTGTAGCGGTTTTAATATCTTCTAACGAGAGGTTATCACTATCATTGAATAGAATTAAAACCAATGCTTGAAACAATGATACTTGTAGCTCTTTATTGCCCTATTTTCATATCAAAAATATCTGTGCATTAGTTAATAATTATATATCACATGTTACATAAGAAGTATCACTATTCAATACCTGGTTAAACCATGCTTTTAGTACACAGTGTCCTAAGGTTGGCTGCCACTGCAATTTTCTACCGCTATGTTTTCCCAAATAAAATTTATTAAACACATCTTGATACTGTACCATCTCCATCGGTAGAGTGACTTCCATCACTGGATATGTAGGCCAATATCCCATAGTAAGTATAGATACAGTTAGATCTAGGTTATTTGCCACTAATTCACTCTGCAAGTTTCCTGCATACTGAAACCATAATAAATATTTGAAATAATACACTCTGTAAACTTAATGTATAAATTATACAACAAATGTATATGATCTGACAATAAAGTTCCCAAATTGCAGCAATAAAAAACACAGACATGTCAAATAATAAAAATGTTATATTTTATTAAATGAAATAGACCGAGAAATATTTAAACACAAATAAAAGAGACAAATGTTTTTTTCGATCAAAGTAGGTCTTGATGCTTAGTAATGTTCATATGTGAATATATAAATATAATTAATAAATTATAATATAATTTTCAATTACAGTGTTGTTAAATTGACGGTGTAATTGTGAAATTATTACAGTTCATGATTGTATTTCAAATTAAAAAAAAACAGAATCGGCGCGCAATCTATGGAACTGAAACTTATATTTGTATATTTACACATGAATATTACTAAGTATCAAGATACTTTGAAAGATATTCTTCTTATTTGTATTTTATCTTCTTTTATTATATTTTTTTTTATCTTTCAAAGTAATTAAATCCCTTAATCAATAGATTTTATATATCTTTGAAACAAAGTAAATATTTTTTTGAAGTCCATAGTTGGAATGCTTTAGAGCACTCATTACATTCCTTTGAATGTCCTCAATGTCTTGAAAATGTTTATCTTTGATGTTGCCTTCAAAACTCAAAAACATCATGAAAGATAAACATTTTCAAAATATCGAGAACATTCAAGAGGAATCTGAGTGTTCTGAATAGCATTCTAATTAAAAAAAGTTTTAAGGCTTTCTATCAAAGATGCGTGAAATGTATTCATGTCATGGGAGACTATTTTAACAAGATAAAATCAGAATTAATAAAACATATTTTAAACATATTTTTTTATAATACTGTTCAAAACATGTTTAAAGCATTAGAAGCGTGTTCAAAAAGAAATGTGTTTTATTTAAAAAAAAAAAAAGTTAGTCTTTGTCAACTTTGCATAAAATGTAACAATCTATTATTTGAAATGCCTGTTTTTACTGCTGCAGTTTGGGAACTTTATTGTCAGATCACATATATTCATAAGTATTTTATACATTTCAATACTAAATATATAAACTTTACAAATTACAAATTAAGTTTAACGTGTTTGCATGTGTAAGCATAACACAAAAGTCTCACGAATAATTATTTTTCTTACCTGTTTGAATGCAATATTAATATCTTTACTAAGTTCCATGTCTTTAAACATTCCTTCCAATTTACTAGTAAATCCACCACCGCATTCTTGTTTTAATTTAGATAACATTGATTTTTCCGCGTCTACAGAAGCCGATTTTCCCACTAACAAACGTTTGGCTAAATCCTTCTTATAAAACGCTTCGAAAACATCTTTTCCGTGAATAAATCGAAAGAGTACCATAATCTTATCTAATAATCTTTCTAATTCCTCTTCCGTCGCTTCTTTATTACCTGCTCGTAACTTACAATCGACAAATTTAGCTGAAATCATGAA